AAGGTTTTCCAATGTGGTGGTTCAGCAGAGAAGTTTCACTTTCAGTTTTAGTTTCAGATATCAGCACAGCATGCAGCTTTAGTACACAACAAGCCATGCCCTGGCCCCTTGCTGTCTACTTCCTTGTTGCTCACACAGCAAATACTGTTTGTTTCCAAACAGCCCTCAACTCTCTCACACACTGACAGGATGCTAGCCAGATGAATACCATGGTGCTGGTAGACAGAATATTTTTTTTCTTATTTTCCTCCCAAAAAACTAAGGTGGGTCTTATACTCCAGAGCGTCTTATACTCTGAAAAATACAGTATATGTTCCACCATCAAGTTTGGTGTTATGGCTGTGATGTGGTCTTTCCTACTAATTCTGCTTAGTTTAATTTGCAGTTTGACTAAGGCCAAGAAGCCCAGTCCGTTAAGTGTTAAGCTTGGAAATAAAATGGTCTTAGGAAGTGTGATTGGGTATACAGTGGAATATTTATTTTGAAGAATAATAATTACAGGATATGGTATCCTTGTACCAGGTTCTTTTAAAAACACAGCGTCACTGATCACATAAGTTTCTTAACCAGCTGCAGACAGATAAATTCTATCACATGAATGTGTTCTTGGTAATTGCGGAAAACATATATGTCCCCTGAGAATTACATGCTTAAGAACTAAGCATCATACATTTTTCTGCTAAAAGAGGAGGTAGATAGAAGAATAAACCAATTCCTTGTTGGCGCATGCCTTTTAAAGTGTACACATTATTTTAATTTATGTAGATTACAACCCTTTGTGTATTTACCAGGGATTAAGCCTCAGTAAATACTGTAGGACATTGTTCATACAATAGTGAATTTAGCTAATTGTCTGTATGCCCAAAACACTGATTCATAAATTAACCACCCTGTCTGGCTTCATCCAATGCGCAGAAATGATCCAACCCTATTTTTAACCTAATCTGTTGTATAAACGAAGTCTGAGACTTGTGAGAAAAGGTATTTAGGATTGTGCAGTTCATACGTATTGTACAAAATGTAGTGCAGTAACAGAACATGACGGATCCTTGCCTCAAGCTTATTTTCTAAAGTTCATGGAGTTCCTGTGTAAGCAAGCTTCATAAGGTCTTTAAATGACAGAGGCCACTTAGTGCTTATGAAGGACAGCATGTGGAAACAATATGCGGTGAAAGATCTAACAAATGGAGAAATTGCATGTACAGATCTCCAGGTGCCCAGATCTTGAGGATGACTATGTTCATTTGTCAAACGATAATTCATCTGAACCTGCAAACTATGAACCACGGCCAATCTTAAATTCACACATTGCGCGCGCACACAGAGGGCAAAAAAGAGCATGAGGATAAGGATTGGCTACATGCACTGTGTGTCTGAAGCCACAGTTATTAGTCTTAACCAGTTTGGGGGAAAAAATCAGTATGAAACCATCGTTTATGTACTCGGCATTTTTTAAAATAGCATTAACTGTATACATCTCCTGTCACATATGCCCTAAGTGTCATTTAATTAAGGCACAATGCTCCTTTTCCCCAATCAAACCATAATGCCCATACAGTGTACTGAGCCAAAATTGAACTCCCTTGTGAGGTTTAGGATTTTGACAAACCCCAATAGTGTAATTATAGCTTAATGAACCCCTTTCATTCTGGTTTAATCACTATACCGTAGTTAAGCAAACCATTGATAATTACAACACACAGACACACACCCCAAACCTTTTGGGTATCGGACTGGTTACATGGAGAGAGAATTTCCGTGGACTGAAAGGGGGTGGTTTCACATGCTGCCTGCATCCTGCACATGCGCGGATAGGGCTTTGCTTGTTTGCGTGGCCTGGTTTCTGGCACGCCATGGCCCAGTTGCCGGGCTGCAGAAATGGGCTCTTTGAATTAGTATATTATATGAACACATCCAATATGGGTGCATGGTAGGGAAATGTAGATCAATTACCTGTGTTTTGCACAGCCCACTAACTACGTAATTCATTGTACCATATGAACAATTAGCTTGAAAGGCAGTGGTTAAATTAAACATGCTATGCAAATATAGCTGGGAAGTAGTGTCATTCTGTAGTCTAGGTCAGGGGCCACAAGACTTACAAGTTTCCAAGGTCAGACATATCATGTACAGAGAATTCTGCAGTCTGCAAGAAGTTGGACTGGATGACCTTTTAAGTCCCTTCCAGTTCTATGATTTTATAAGAGTGCTTGAAGAAAAAAAAATCAGAGGAGATAATGATGAAGTTTTGACAGAAGCTTTTAGCGGGCTGGTTTTATTCATCGCCTTTTGAAGATTTAACAATCTTATTTTGCTCTTCATTTCAGCAAAAAATATTATTTTTAGAGTTCTTAAAAAGGGATTGTTGTTGTTTTTTAAAAAAGGGGCATATGGCTCATGAGTTGCCCACTGTGCTCTAAAATATAAAGATTGTGCTGAGGATTTTCCTCCATAATATAGAGCAATGATGGTGAATCTTTCCGGCACCAAGAGCTCCTGTTCATGTGTGCGCGCCAGAGTTCCGGAAACCCGGAGACCAGCTGCCCAGTGCACATGCACGCTCCAACTAGTGGGTCTTTGGGTTGTCAGCATGCCGGAAAGCAGCTGGCGGCAGTGTGCGTGTCCTCATAGAGGGCTCTGCTTGCCACCTCTGGCATGAGTGCCACAGGTTCGCAATCCCGAATATAGAGCAATTGCATTGCTGCAGAAATTAAGTCATGGGTGTGATAAGCCATGCCATTGGTGTCCATTACCTTGTTCATACCCTTTAGCCCAGTGTTTCTCAACCTTGGCAACTTGAAGATGTCCGGACTTCAACTCCCAGAATTCCCCAGCCAGCATTTGCTGGCTGGGGAATTCTGGGAGTTGAAGTCCGGACATCTTCCAAGTTGCCACCGTTGAGAAACACTGCTTTAGCCCTTAGCAATTCTCAAGAACGATTATTTTGTGTTCGTGCTTCTTTGTTTACCGTGCTAAACTTTTTTTAACAGTCTTAACTAGAGCCATGTCCTAAAAAAAAAAAATATTGTTCTTAAATTCAGTGAAGTTCAGACATGTTGTTGCCAACCAAGGATCATTCTGCTGATCAAAAAAAAAAAAAAAAGACTTTCCTGGATTCTCATTTTGAGGATTCTTTTGACAGAATGCTTGTCCAGGTATACCTGTACTTCTATTGCAAATGCTTATGGCGCTGCCTGAAATTTGTGGCGCGGAAACTGACCGGACGCTGTGAACTGCAAAGGATCTGCTATAATATCAAGCCTGGAGCCGAAAGAACCTTGAAAATTGGTAAGCACCTTTAGGGCAACTGTTAATCTTTATTTTCATTCATCATGCTCATAAAATGGTCGACTTGTTTGTTTGGTTGACGGTTAATTAATTGCCTCAATCCTTGACTAAAGTGATTTATTATATATGAATCTAGTTTAAAGTGATTTATTATACATACATCATCATAAAAATTAATGTTTCAGAATACAGGAAGTCCTCAACTTATAACAGTTCATTTAGTGACCATTAGTAGTTACAACAGCATGGGGGGAAAGCAACTTACGACCGTTTTTCATACTTACGACTGTTGCAGCATCCCTGTGGTCACGTGATCAAAATTCAGCAACTTGGCAACTGGTTCATATTTATGACGGTTGTAGTGTCCTGGGATCATGGGATCAGCTTTTGTGACATTCTGACAAGCAAAATCAATAGGGAATGAAGATTCACTTCACTGCAATATTTCATTTAATAACTGTGGCAAGAAAGGTCATAAAATGGGGCAAAACCCACTTAACAACATAAATTTTGGGCTCAGTTGTGGTCATAAGTTGAGGACTATCTGTGTTTTGTTGCAAAGCATGGCCACGTTGTTAAACATGCTAAAATGTAATAAAAATTTAACATTTTGAAAATATTTTCCCCAACAGAGACATCATTGAGGAATTCAAAAAACAAGGTGGGTAAAATTCTCTTTGTATTGTGTTCATTTGGTGCAACAATATTAAGTCTGTGATCTATATTACAAAAGCAGTATTCAAGCTGAGCCGCAAACAAGACTGAAGGGAAACCTTCAGATAACTGAAAAACACGAGATTGTGAAAAGGAAAGAAATAAAATATCACCTCTATATCTTAATAGCTTTGAGATATTTACCTCACATATTTAGAGGTTCAGGAATCGATTGCCTGCTAATATCAATGCTCATTGATTTGCCTTAACAAATAGCGGTCTTTCTACCCATATCCTTTTGACAGCTGTCAAATATTCATGAGATGGAAATTTGAAAGTTCCTTGTGCATTAAAGACTTTCATTACTATTCTGTTTTAATGTTAATCAGTTAGAAAAACACAGGTGATATCTTTATTGGACCCCGTGATACATGGGCGTCTAAGGGATGAGGAGGACAAAAACCAATGGCGTCCACCTTTTTATAACATGAAGCGTGGCTTACAAAGGGGCAGGGGAGTTTGATTGCGTGATATAGCTCTCATCTTGAATTTTTTAAAAAACTTTCCTTGCCTCTCCCCACCCCCAAATAGGCCCTACAAATATTTCAGTGTGGAGTTAATCATGATTTGGTATGATGCAAGCGTAAGTAAATCAGGGTCATATCCCTGTTAACGACGTTCAGTAGTAGTTTCAGTCATTTATTTCTGATGCATTTCACTTACTATGGGAAAACTGATATATGATAAATTCTTTTGTTCCAGTTGCTCCAAAATTCCATTAGTGTTCATCCAGATGCAATTGAAAAAACGGTAGATGCCATCATAGACTTGAAAAAGATTAACCCAGATGTAAATCCACAGTAAGTTTTAAATAAGGGGCATTGAGGGAGAGAATGTTTCAGCTCTTTGATTTCTTTTAAAGTTGATTTTCCCACACATTTCCCAATACAGTACAGGTTTGGACAAGCATTTTGTGAAACATACAGGTATTAAGAGGCACGGTGGTTAGAATGCAGTACTGCAGGCTACTTCTGCTGATTGCCGGCTGCCTGCAATTTGGCAGTTCGAATCTCACCAGGCTCAAGGTTGACTCAGCCTTCCATCCTTCCGAGGTCTGTAAAATGGCATTCCCCTCTGTTATGGTCCTGTGACTGCATTTTGGGTGTTTGGCAACAAATTACCTTTACAATCGGTTGCTGCATCCTGCTGGTTTGGCCAGTTCCTGTAAAAAAAAAAAAACCCATTTGGAAGGTTTCATAACAACCATTTGCTTAAGCAAATGATGATTCACTTAATGACCACATTAGTGATTAATGAACACCATGGAAAATGTCCTAAAAGGGGTCCCGTCACATGGTTGCTTCAACTTACAACTGCAACAACTTGCAAATGGATTTCTGGTCCCAACTGTGGTTGTAAGTCACAAGAATTACAGGTAGTCTACCTGTAGTTCTTTTATATGATCCCTCATG